AAGCGGTGGTTGGATGACCAGTTTTGCAGACCTACTGCACCATCTGCTGCCAGGACACAACAGCTAGTGGGCTGCATGCTTGCCGTGGTATGGCGAGACGAGCAGCTGAGCAGAGTTGTAGCAGAAGCGGCCCTGCAAGACCACCAGGAGAGCAGAGTGCCAGCAGAAGCGGTAGATGATGACAGTCATATAGAGGACCTGCGAGGTGGATTCATAGCATCAGGAGAGCATGAGAGCAGAGCTGCAGCGGAAGCAGTGGATAACGACAATGGTTTGCAGACCTACTGCACCTGCTGCTGAAAGCAGTATGGCGCCTGCACGGAAAAAAGGCACAAAATGATTGTATGCCATTGCTTTCACGGAGGAAGGGGCGACTGATGACATGTACCCAAAACCACCCACAGCAATGTTTTTGCCCCATTAGGCATTGGGAGCTTAACCCAGAATTCCAATGGGTGGCGGAGACTGCGGGAACTGTGGGATAGCTACTCACAGTGCAACTCTCTGAAAGTCGACAGTAGCCTTGGTACTGTGGATGCACTCCGCCAACTTAATGCACTTTGTGTGTGTGTCCACACTAATGCACTATCGACTGTATAAAATTGCTTTCTAAAAAATCGACTTCTATAAATTCAACCTAATTTCATAGTGTCGACATACCCTAAGTCTAGTTGGAAATGCTGTGGCTAGATGTTCTGCTGTCAGCCAACTGTTCTGCACAGACTGTGGAACATATTTTGAGACTCTATGGGTGTGGCTTCTCTGCAGAAGTAACTGGTGATCAGCAACCTGGTCCAAACACCCAGGTTAGCCTAGTCCAGGTGAGACCAGCCATACCTGAGTTACTGTGCCCTGCATGGTGCTACAACCCATGCCCTCAATGTGTGTCACTGGGACATCTGGGGGCATATCCCATGGATCTCTGTGATGCAGTAAGCTGAGGCGCTTTACGATTCTTTCCCACTGAATTGTGGGAGAATTCAGAACTTGTCTTTTCTTTGGGACACACAGGGGAAATTATAGGACCATTGACAGTCTGGTGGTTTGGCCTGCATCCTCACTGCAAAGTGGGCATGTCAAAGGTTATGTCTGAACATCACCCCCTGGGGATGAATGCAGGCACCTTACTGACCTCATACATCATTCCCTCGGCAACAGCAGGCCCCTGGTCTGGCTCTGGGGCTGGCCCTCTGGCTGGCTCTCTTAGCAATTCCACCCAATCCAGGGGACATAACACATTCCAAACATGAAGAAAGATCGTTCTTCTTTGAGGGATGGTCCCTATGTGGATTTCAAACATGAGGGCATATGCCAGCGTGTCTGATCTCAGAGGGCTCAGGCTGGCAGTGCTCTAGGTTTGCTTCTTTCAGACTGCCTCCCGCACTGGCCTGAGTTCCTCCCTTTGAAGGGCTGACAAGCTGCACAGGTGCAGCAGGGGTTGGGGCTGATTGTGACCCCAGGAATTCTTTAACCTCTTGTTGACTGGGCAGGGGATAACTGCCCCACCACAAAATGTTACCAGTCCAAAGTGAAAGTGGCAATCGGGCTTTAGCCTACTGGGCCAGCTAGCATGGGTGAAAGCACCACCTCACACAGCTGAGAGATTTGCCCGTGTGGAGAGGGGTTAGGAGCAACACCCAAATAAGAACCTGAGTTAATTCTGCAGTGAAGACTTATCCTAAATGCAGGCTTGGACGCTAGGCATTTACTTGAGAACCTAGATGTAGCCAGGCTAAAGGACTGTCATTGCAGGTCAAGGGGCAGATCCCCACCTGGTGTAAATTGTATTCAGTAGAGCTATGATAACTTACACCAGCTGAGGATCTGCACCAACAGGATTTCTAGCGTCCACAGCTCTGCTTCCTCAGGCTAGATGTGGACCATTGACTTTCCAAAACTAAGTCACAACATGAGAGAGCACCCAGCTGAGGAGGCATCCCAGCATATGTGACTCCTTTCTTTGTTTCATAAACATTTCTCAGATAAACTCAGCTTGAGGTAGGTGACATAAACCCCTTATGCTGGTCAGACAGACATGTCCGAGTGAGAGAGAATTAAATGTGAGTTTGCATAGAAATCCATTTTAAATTCCTAGCCAAGTACATCCCTTGTGAGGCAATGCATTGGTATGGGCGGGTGGGGAGGAGACACAAGATTTCTCTTTCGGCTTTGGTGTCTGTTCCAAAAAAGTCCTTGTGGTGGGTGAAATTCACCCCTGAGCAAAAGAAATATGCAAGGCCTAGGCACCACTTAAGGCTAGTTATCTGTTGGCTCACTGTTAGTCATATACAATAAATATAACTCAAACTGGCAACAAGTCTCAATAAAAATATGCATTGATTTTTAAAGTTCTCTTATTTATTTATCAGGCCTCGAGAAGAGGTGCTCCAGTGTATTTGAATTAATTTCCCAGCTCTTCTTTAAGATCTGAATTGGCTGGGTATTTTTTTTTCAATTTGTGTTTACTCAGTCTTTGCCTGCAAGCACATCTAACAACACTCGTGAACCTGATCGGTTCTTTCTAAGGTGCTGAGTACTACTGCTCCCAGTGACTTCAATGGGAGCTGTTGAGTGCTAAGTATTTTTGAACACTTGTTAAAGCACTTAAATGTAGATATAGGAACTTAATTTAGGCACCTGTTTAAAAAAAATTAGGACTGTTGATTAATTGCAGTTAACTCACACCATTAACTCAAAAAAACTAATCACAATTTTAAAAAATTAATTGCAGTTTTAATCGCACTGTTAAACAATAGAATACCAATTGAAATTTATTAAATATTTTTGGATATTTTTCTACATTTTCAAATATATTTATTTCAATTACTACACAGAATACAAAGTGTACACTGCTCACTTCATATTATTTTTGATTACAAATATTTGCACTGTAAAAATGATATACAAAAGAAATAGTATTTTTTCAGTTCACCTCATACAAGTACTGTAGTGCAATCTCTTTATCGTGAAAGTGCAACTTATAAAAGTAGATTTGTTTTGTTTTTGAGTGCAGTTAAGTAACAATGTTAAACTTTGGAGCCTATAAGTACACTCAGTCCTACTTCTTGTTCTGCCAATCGCTAAGACAAACAAGTTTGTTTACATTTATGGGATATAATGCTGCCTGCTTCTTATTTACAATGTGTTGTAATTGAAATCAGTATATTTGAAAATGTAGAAAACATCCAAAAATATTAAAATAAATGGTATTCTATTTTTAATAGAGCAATTAATTGCGATTAATTTTTTTAATTGCTTGACAGCCTTAAAAAATTATTTACCAGTGGGAAATGCTATTTATTATTAAACAAATTACATGAGCAATCTCCAACAGTGATAGAAGTAGGATTCACTGTTAGGTCAAAAGTCTGTTGTAGATAAGCATTTTGAGCTCACAGTAACTTAACTGGGTGTTTTCCATACATAGTGCCCTAGACATCACTGCAAAATTCCATAGCATCCCATTTACACTGCTCACCAAGGGCCAAATTCTGCTATTTGCATGAATGTATTAATCTTACATGCAGTGAAGGGACCCTGGTTCCATTGAAGTCAATGGCAAAATTCTTATTACTTCCACGGGGCAACGATTTCACGCTAGGAGTCAGAAAGGGAAGAGCAAACTCATGGTGCTTTGTTTAAGCCCTGCCTACAATCCCAAATTCCACCAATATCCTGGAATAGCTTGCTGTCTCTGCTAAAATGATAAGCATGATATGGTGTGGTGATATAGGTTGCTATAATTAGGGTTCAGAGTCAGGAATGTGCAATTATTCACAGTGCTTTTGTTTCACTCAGTCTGTCTGGCTGTTTGCACTGAACAAGGTACCTCTAAGTCAATTTCGCACTTAAAAGGTTTGCGTTGCAATCATAAGGACTAGAAAATGTTTTAAAATGAACACCTGAATTCTACAGGAATGGAGTACACAGTAGAAGATTGGAGAACTTGTAGGTTTATTATTATATGCACATGACACCTGATTAACTGAGATGTGAATTGATTTTTATTTAGACAGGTTATTTTTGTTAATACTTAAGCTCAAAAGCTTGAAAAACAGTTAGGAGAAAAGAGGTCTTTTAAAATAGATTAACACCCCCAGCCTTTGGCTTAAGGGCTGAGAAAACCTCACACACAGGATACATGAGACTTCCAAGGAATCCTCCAGGATAACCAAGACTTGACAGTATTAATATTTTTTAGGAAAAAAGAAACAGAAAGAAAATAAAATATTTTAAAAGTTAAAAACTCTTTCAGGCCTTCTTTATGCATCACAAAGAAGCAAAAATACCAATATGGGGCACATATCAATTTTTGTCTTTTTCTTTGCAAATCATCTTTAATAATCTGAGACTACTAGTGTTTTCAGCACCTTGGCACCTTTCTCTTTCAATGGTTTGCCTATTCTCTGCAGCTTTTACTAAGGATGCTCAGCCCTGTGGGGAATATTATTACTATTTATTTGTATTCCCATAGCACCTAGGAGCCCTAGTCATGAACCAGGACCGCTTTGTGCTAGGTGCAAACACATTAAAAAAAATGGCATGTGCCCCAAAGGGTTTATAATCTAGTTTTTGCATTTATTGCACCTTTCATTTGAAGATCTCTGAGCAATTAGTTAATCCTTACAACATGCCTGAGAGATGAGTTGTAGTGTCCCCATTTTACAAAACGGGTGAACCAAGGCATAGAGAGGTGAAGTGACTTGCTCAAGGCCAGACAGTGAACTAGTAGCAGAACCAGGAAAAGAACCTACAACTCTTGACTCCATATTCCAGGTCCCTAGATCATGAGTCAGGAACCACACAGGTAGAGTTAACTGGCAACAATATGGGGTGGTGATGATGAATTACTATTTTATAACCAGGTTGAAAGGATCACCAGTAGCTTTGAAAATGCAAAGTGGCTTCCCGCAACAAGCAGCTTAGTTTTCAGAAGTCCAGCATCTGTACAAACACACAACCTTGCTGAGAAGACTTAGCCCCATTTTCTTCTTCTTTAGGGAATTAGATTATGCCATGTTGCGACGGCTGGAGAAGAGGATTTTGGTTGACCTCCCAAATAAAGAGGCACGACAGGCTATGATTCAGCACTGGCTACCCCCTGTGAGCAACAGTAGAGGAGTGGAGCTGAGAACAGAGCTGGAGTACAGCTTGCTAGGTCAGGTGAGAAGACAGCGAAGTGGATGCAGTTCACCACTGGTAACTCAGACTCCTGAAGTCTTTCAGCAAGGGAACTGTGGGAATGTGGTGAGCCTGATTCTGCTCTCATTGAAACAGATGTGAACTATACAGGCTACAAGTAGCAACTATAAACATGGTAGCCGGGTGAAAGGGAATAAAGCTCAAGTTATGAAGGTGAATGATGGGAGGCTTAGGGACTCTTCCTACAAGGGGACATCAGTGAGAGCTGGAGGTATTGAACTTGTCTCAGTAGGTGAAATCACCAGTTTCGCATGACTCAACTTGGAAGTCAGAGATGTATTTTGATGCCAGTATTGGGTCAACTTTTCACTGTTTCAGATGTAAACACAGAAAAAAATTACAATAACTGTATACCTCTGGCCCTTCCTACCACCACAGTAGGGTCTTTCGGTTTATATTGGAGATGAGCATGGTGCAGCACTCTGCTGAGTAGGAAGAATTTGTCATGGATCTAGTGCAGTATGAAGGAGCATCAATAAAGTGAAAAGGCTCACCAGGGCATCAATCTCCAAGAGCTCAGATATTTTCCTTACAGAGCCTGAATTCAGGCTGTCGTCACCCATAAACTCTGCTGAGAATAGCTAATACTTGCTCAGCTGACCATGGTTTAGTTCTGTTCATAGAGACATACAGCATATTTCAGTTTCTATTTCAAAAATATTCTGTCTATGAAATTGAAACATAATGCTTAATATTTAACAAATACAATGCACTAGAACTGCAAACATAAGGTTGTAGAACCAGCTGTCGATTCTTGTGAGCCTTTGGCCCTGTCCACGCTGGACAGAACAGTGCTACCTGTGTTACAGCTAGCCCCGTTCTTATCCAAATGTGGCATGATTATCAGCTGAATCACTGGCTGGAACTAGAACCTCATTATGTACAGCTTGGTACAAGCTCTGCCACGCTATGCTCTCAGGATGGTTGGGTTTTCATTTAAAGATGATTACACAGGGCCAGGATTTTTAAGTTAATGGCAAGCATTTGCTAACACACATTTGTATACATCCATTCCTTTATGCCTGTGCCAATTGGTTATTTGGGCACATGCTTTGCCGGTTGAGTGCATAGGATGCACACAAATATCAGATGTGTATATGTATATGTGGGAAGTAGACGTGCACTGAAGGAGGTGTGCAGTTGTGCATGCCTAAAGACTTGTCTACACACAAACTGGCACCAAAATCCTTTTATTTCACACTTGTTATTTTTGTGTGTGGACTCTTTATTTCGGATTAAGATGCTCTTAACCCAAAATAAGAGTATCCACATTCAGATTTGCAAAAGATGGAAAGCAAAACAGTTATTTGGGCGCAGGTTTTTTGCAGAGCAGCCCTAATGTTGAAAATCAGTCCCATTAGTAGTGCTTGTATCACAGTAGTGCCTAGAGGCGCATTGTACTAGGCACTGGACAGAAACATAGAGCATAATCTAGAGCCCATTAAAGCCAGTGAAAAGACTCCCATTGACTGCAGTGGGCTTTGGAGCGGGTCCATAATGAGTTTACAATCAAAATAGATAAGACAGATGGGGTGGGAAACAGACACAGAGAGATGAAGACTTTATTTTACCTGCAGAAAACTCTCCTTGAAAAAACAAATGCGTGATTTGCTAACACCTGCATACAGCAACTCTGCATTCAAACAAACAATGAAGTAACATGAGAGTATACACATCCATCACATGCAATAATTCATAATCCTGTGAATTGCGATCTTGTATTAGGAGACAGAAGGATACTCTGGCTCTGACGTTAAATTGGTCTGCAAGGAAGCAGCTATGCGGCCAGTGAGGAAAATCTTCAATGCTCTTGAAAATCATCAGCCAGGTACAATAGCTCTCATAGAGAATCCTATGTGAGAAATGCTGATCTGTCGTTGTAACACTAGGCATTATATATTCACGTACCAGTAGGTGGAGCTCTCTTATTTGCTTAGAAAAGTTTTAAACTGTATGTTTGTAAAAACCTAATTAAGCCAACATTTCCAAAACTCAGGTCATCTCTTGAAGCTGTCATTCGCTGTGCACTGAACACAATAAGAACCATTTTCTCTCCTGCTATGTCCAATCTTCTGTTTAGTGTATTAACCGTTAAGAATGTTGCATTATGCACTGGCTTAAAGAGAGCACCTCTTAGCACTGATCAGCATCTCATTCACTTTCAGCATTTGGTCAATTTTCTCTCTCCAGGTAGCAGTAATTTACCCGAACTCCGACTGGACACGGTCACCACAGCAGATTTCCTGGATGTGATCGCTCACACCAAGCCCTCAGCAAAGAATTTAAGTCAGAAGTACACAGCCTGGCAGAGAGATTTTGAATCTGTTTGAAATAGCTTTAGACTTTGAAATCAAAGATACCCACTATCCAAAACGGCATCTGTGATTGGGGTTCAGCTACAGATAGAGGGACTGAACTATGATGGAAAAGGAATTATTATTTTTTTTTCTTCAGAAAACTGAATAAGAGAATCTGTACTTCAAAATCTGCAAGGTGCATTTTTAATTTACCATGTTCAATGATAATTAGAAATTGGTATTCTTTATGGAAAATTAATGTCTACAGTGAATATGCAATGAAGATTCTAGCACTAATTTTATGCATAAAACCTTATAAATTGACCAGTCTTGCACAATCTTCATTCATTACAAATGATTTTCACTTCTTAGCCCTGGTCTACACTAGGACTTTAGATCGAATTTAGTAGCGTTAAATCGATGTAAACCTGCACCTGTCCACACGATGAAGCCCTTTCTTTTGACTTAAAGGGCTCTTAAAATCGATTTCCTTACTCCACCCCTGACAAGTGGATTAGCGCTTAAATCGGACTTGCCGGGTCGAATTTGGGGTACTGTGGACACTATTCGACGGTCTTGGCCTCCGGGAGCTATCCCAGAGTGCTCCATTGTGACTGCTCTGGACAGCACTCTCAACTCAGATGCACGATTGTTTGCCGTTGCTCTGACGCAGGGAGGGGCGACTGACTACATGGCTTACAGGGTTGGCTTACAGGGAGCTAAAATCAACAAAGGGGGTGGCTTTACATCAAGGAGTGTTTCAGGCAGGACTTCACGGAGGGTTCCAATAAGAAATGGTGCACCTAAGTTATTGTTCTTATTGGAACAAGGAGGTTAGTCTGGCCTCTGATTGATACATGGCTAGATTTACCTCACTGCACCTTCTCTGTGAGTAACTGCAGTGTGACCTAGAGGAATGAGTCCCCTAGATGGGGGGCAGGGGGGGAGGTTTGCAAATGAGTACAAAACAAATCTGGTCTATTTCTTGTTTTGATACACTCCATCTATCTTTTACATCTTTAGCTGGCAGCAAACGGTGCAGAAGGACTGCATGCCATCCACATCTCATAGCTGCTTGGCAGAAGATGGTACAATAGGACTGCTAGCCATCCTCATCTCTTGCCTGCCTGGCAGAAGATGATGCAATAGGACTGCTAGCAATCCGTATCACCTGCCTGCTCACCATAAGATGGTTCAATGGGACTGACTGCAGGACTAAAGAGAATGACTTGATCAAGTCACTCCAAATTTAGTCCCTGCGCCCATGTCTGCCCAGGCGCTCCTGATCGACCTCACACAGGCGACCAGGAGCACCTCAGACATGACGATGATGGCTACCAGTCCTATTGCACCATCTGCTGCCACAAGGCAATGGGTTGCTGCTGCTGTGTAGCAATGCAGTACCGCGTCTGCCAGCACCCAGGAGACATATGGTGACAGTGAGCTGAGCGGGCTCCATGCTTGCTGTGGTATGGCGTCTGCACAGGTAACTCAGGAAAAAAGGCGCGAAATGATTGTCTGCCCTTGCTTTCATGGAGGGAGGGAGGGAGAGAGGGAACGGGGACCTGACGATATGTACCCAGAACCACCCGTGACAATGTTTGAGCCCCATCAGGCATTGGGATCTCAACCCAGAATTCCAATGGGCAGCGGAGACTGCGGGAACTGTGGGATAGCTACCCACAGTGCAACGCTCCGGAAGTCGACTCTAGCCTTGGTCCTGTGGAAGCACTCCGCCGAGTTAATGCACTTAGAGCATTTTCTGTGGGGACACACACACTCGAATATATAAAACCGATTTCTAAAAAAACGACTTCTATAAATTCGACCTAATTTCGTAGTGTAGACATACCCTTAGGGGGAGAGGAGCAAGAGCAGAAAGCTTATGTCAGAAATAGCGAGAAGATTAGTGGCTCCTGGTACTCAAACTAGTGGATCACAACCAGTCTGGCATTTACTAGGAAGGACTTGTGTGATGGCCAATGAAGCATGTTACTTTTTTTTAATCCCCATCTGGGATTAAATTCAGCATCTATTATTGCCTGGTAGTCATGGTCAACTTGGTAAAGTTTTGGTCTGGGATATAATTTGTTCATGTATCGATGTCTTGATGTGTTTTATCCATCCTATTCAATTTGGTTTTGGGTTAGTTTTTACCCAACTAGCATCAATGTCATTTGCTTTTAATAGGGTGCTGTAGTGCTCATCAGTATGTTACTTGTTGAGGAATCAGAGCCTAATTTAAATTACTTATTACTTACTTATTAGCACATGTAGCCGAGCTCCAGTGAAACAAAGCATTTATTCTGTTCTAATAGCCTTTCATCCTTCCTTTTCTGATGATCATAAACTGCTAACTGGTATCTTTAGAAGCCAGGATTTTTTAGGCGTTTACCAAGATGGAAGATGCACATGCTGAAGAGGAAGTGTAAGTGGATGACAGCTGAGGTGATGTACGGGGTTAGGAATATTTGTGAAGCTAGCACCACTTTTATAAGGAGGGTGAAGAATTTTATGGTCTGTTGCTTCTTATTTATTAGATTTCCAGTTTAAAGTTTAATAAGGCAACTGAGGCAAAATTCTTTCATCACAAAGCTACTATAAGGTGGGTGCAAAACTTGTTGGAAAACCATTCCCAGAGAGTAATTATCAGTGGTTCACAGTCATGCTGGAAGGGTATAACGAGTGAGGTCCTGCGGGGATCAGTTCTGGGTCTGGTTCTGTTCAATATCTTCATCAATGATTTAGATAATGGTATAGAGCAGGGGTCAGCAACCTTCCAAAGAAGAGGAGCCATTTTTTTGTTTTTGACTTTGACCAAAATATTTTGAGAGCTGCATCACATGCAAAGCTACTTGTAGAGTTAGAATTTATCAATTAATAATAATTGAACATATTAAAGTTATTACTACTCATCAATACTTTTAATGCGACTTCTGCTGTTGGACATCTTTAGAGAGTTGCTCAATGTTCGGTGAATATGGCGTGATTTTCATTTTCAAAGAGGAGTCAAGATTAACATCTTGCAGTTGGCTCCTCAGTTTGTTTTTGATGAAATTCACGTTGGAGAACACTTGTTCACAGAAGTACGTTGAACCAAAGATTGAGAGAAGCCCAAATGCGTATTTCTTCAGCTGACTGTACATATCCGATAGACAACTCCAAACGTCAAATATAATCTGGTCTTGCCGTTTTAGGTCATCCATTTCAGACCACTTGTGTTGTAGCCTCAGGGTGGATTTCTGCCTTCCAGATTTTCAAGTTCAGTGACAAGATCTTTCAATTTTGAATTCCATAAATCCTTGTCTTGCGAGTCCACTAATTCAAGTTCAAATTACACTCAATCGATTCCCGCAAATGCTGAAAAATTCAATGCAGAACTGTCAGCTTCAAGCGGTTTCAACAGAAATGACAAACTCTGAACTCATGAAATTGGTCAGCAAATGCAGCTTGCATTTTGATGACTGTTTCTGCAAGGAACCTAACGTCAATATCACAGTCATTTGGTTGTTTGTATTGCTTCTCTATTGGGAAATGCACTAACATGCCCATCTCAATGTCCCTTACAAAGACAGCTTTCGTTCAAATGAAAAAACTTCTTCCAAAAGCAAAATTGCAGTATTTCCTTTTCCCTGTAGCTTCCGATTCAACATGTTTAAGTGAGAAGTTAAATCCACCATAAAACTGAATTTTTGCAGCCAGTGAGGATCCGTTAGTGCTGTATATTTAAGGCCTTTTCTTGGAGGAACACCTCAATTTCCTCGAGACATGACGCAAACCTCACCAGGACTGCACCTCTGGAAAGCCATCTTACCTTGTTATACACAAGAAAATCAGAACATTGGCTGTTAACTTCTCGAAGAAGCTCGCAAAACTGCCAATAATTGAGAGCGCTTGCCATTATTTTAACAATCTGCATGACCATTCCCAGTCCTTTTGAGATTTCCTCTGGAAAAGTGTGTGCACACAGCACCTCCTGGTGGATTTTGCAGTGAAATGAAATTACGTCATGCTCCATACTTTTTTTAAGTAAAGTAACAAAACCTTCGTGTGTCCCCTTCATGCTCGGTGCTCCATCTGTAGCAACAGAAATTATTCTGTTGATGTCAATATATTTTTGTTTCAGACATTCAGTGACAGCAGATGCAATATCTTCGCCCCGAGTTTGTCCTCTGAGTGACAATAACACAATCAACTCTTGAGGACCTTGATCATTAATGTATTTGCCAAGTAAGGCAACTTGAGCAATGTCATCCCCGTCGCATGTCTCATCGCAGGCAATAGAAAAATCTGGTGCTGATCTAACATCACTAATCTGCTGGCTGGTTACGTCTGTGGCCATCTTAATAGTTCTGTCCTTTATAGTCTTTGCAGATAATGGCATTTCTCAAATTTTCTAAACTATTTCATCTTTGTTTTTAAAATAGTCGAAGCGGTGCTCAGATGTTTTAATGAAACATTCTTTCACCTATTCTCCATCTGTGAATGGCTTCCCTCGTTTGACGATTTCTTGAGCTGCCACGAAACTAGCAGTAACGGTTCTGCTTGGCGCCTTCATCCATATAGCAAACGTACATCTTGTTTGCTCTTCTTTGCATCGGAGCGCCTCTACTGCTTTTTATCACCAGCTGGATAGGGTTCAGCAAACGTCCAAGGTTTCTTTTCAAAATGTCTTTCTAGGTTTGATTTCTTATTGCTGGATAGTTTGGATAGATTGTTTGGATAGTTGGATTGATTGTTGGATAGCACAATGGGAGTCTGGCTGAACTCGCTATAAAAAGGTAAGACTCAGTCCAATCATTTTGAAATTCTTGATGTTCGTCTTCTATCTTTCTCTTTTTGATTGAAGGTATTCATCTGATCTGTTTTATTTCTGACTTCAGACTTTTTCAAACTGTTGGCGATTAGAACATACTAATAAAGACAGAGCACAGCTGCTTCCTTTTCACAAGAAATTCTAAGAGTTTTATTGGTAGACAATAGTTGCCTTGGTAATGAGCCATTTGAATATAAACAGGAGGGGGCTCCGGGCTGGGGCAGCAGATTGGGGTGCAGGAGAGGGTGCGGGGCCTGGGAGGAAGTTTGGGTGCAGGAAGGGGTTCTGACCTGGGGCAGAGAGTTGGGGTGTGGGAGGGGGTGTGAGGTGCAGGCTCTGGCTGGGAGGCACTTACCACAGGCGGTTCCCAGCTGGCAGCGCAGCAGGGTTCAGGCTGCCTGCCTGCCCTGGCCCCACGCCAGAAGTGGCTGGCTGCTGTATGTCTCTGCATGCCCCTGGCAGGGAGGAGGCAGCTCCGCACACTGCTCCCACCCCCAGCACCATCCTCACAGTTTCCATTAGCCGGGAGCTGCAGGGGCGGTGCTTGTGGACACGGGCAGCACATGGAGACCCCGCTGCCCCTCTCCCCCCAAGGGGCGCGCAAAGATGTGCCAGCAGCCAGCCGCTTCCAGGAGCGGCATGGGGCCAGGGAAGGCAAGCAGCCTGCCTGAAATCTGCTGCACCACCAGCCGGGAGCCGCCTGTGGTAAGTGCCTCCTGGCCAGAGCCTACACCTCACACCCCCTCAAAAAACAGCTGCCCGCAAGGGGGCAGCCAAAGAGCTGCATGCGAGTCCGGAGCCACAGGTTGCCAATCCCTGATGTACAGAGTACACTGATAAAGTTTGCAGATGATACCAAGCTGGGAGGTGTTGCAAGTCCTTTGGAGGATAGGATTAAAATTCAAAATGATCTGGACAAACAACAGAAATGGTCTGAAGTAAATAGGATGAAATTCTATAAGGACAAATGCAAAGTACTCCACTTCAGAAGGAACAATCAGTTGCACATACACAAAATAGGAAATGACTGCCTAGGAAGGAGTACTGTAGAAAGGTATCTGGGGGGGTCATAGTGGACCACAAGCTAAATATGAGTCAACAGCATACCACTGTTGCAAAAAAAGCAAACATTCTGGGATGTATTAGGAGGAGTGTTGAAAGCAAGACACGAGAAGTAATTTTTCTGCTGTAGTCTGCGCTGATTAGGCCTTAACTTGGAGTATTGTGTCCAGTTTTGGGCACCACATTTCAGGAAAGATGTGATCAAATTGGAGAAATTCCAGAGAAGAGCCACAAAAATTATTAGAGGTCTAAAAAACATGACCTATGAGGGAAGACTGAAAAAATTGGGTATGTTTAGTCTGGAAAAGAGAAGACTGAGAGGGGACATAACAGTTTTCAAGTATATAAAAGGTTGCTACAAGGAGGAGGGAGAAGAATTGGTCTTTGTAACCTCTGAGGCTAGGACAAGAAGCAATGGGCTTAAATTGCAGCAAGGGCAGTTTAGGTTGGACATTAGGAAAAACTGTCTGTCAGGGTGGTTAAGCACTGGAATAAATTGCTTAGAGAGGTTGTGGAATCTCCATCATTGGAAATTTTTAAGAGCAGGTTAGACAAACACCTGTCAGGGATGGTCTAGATAATACTTAGTCCTGCTTTGAGTGCAGGGGTCTGGACTAGATGACGTCCCAATGTCCCTTCCAGTCCTATGATTCTATGAAAAGCCACAATTAGATAGGGAGTTCCAACCCATGGAGTTCCCCTTCCACAGGTTCTCCATGTGAGAGTAGGGAGCATGGCCTGCATATCTTAGCACAACCAGCCCCCTCCCCCCACCACATATATAACCCAATCAGTTCTTAGCCACAAGGTACCCACCTCTATGCATGCTACTCCTGCCCCTGACCCCCGAGGAGAGCTTATGGCTAATATGGACACAAAATAATGCTGCCTTTGTAGCCTTCACATTTACCCATTTGGGGGCCCAGAGCCTAATGGAGTAACTACCCAGAGTCCAAGTTAAGTCACAACAGAAGGGGATGCCACCACAGGAAGAGGAGGATGAGGGTGAAGATGAAAGGATTATGTGATTGCCAGAGATGCTACAGCACATGTCTTCAGAGGTGGACTTATTGACTATATTTTTTTAAAAACAATCTGTCCAGGACCATAGAAACAAGTTTTGCACAGATGTAATGACAGTGAAGGTTTGGCAAACAGGACTCTGGTCACAGGGGATTGCATGAACGAAGGCACGGCAGTATGGGGGAGAAAGGACACAGAGAACAGTCAAGGAGGGAGGGACTTGGACTAAGCACAGAGGCCAGTGAAGAGGAAAAGGAGATAAGGGGCCAAAAGGGCCTTGAAAGTCAAAACAAGGGGCTTGAATTTGATCCAGGAGGCAACAGCACTGGATGACAGATTATTTTTGTTGCAGAGTCCTGGATGGTTTGGAGGAGGGACTAGGCAAACATCAGGAAGGGCACAGACATGCAAGTGGCAATAGTGAGTGTGAGCTGGTCAAGGGCTTTGAGTGGGAAAGGTGAAGGATAGGAGTTTGGAGATGTGGAACTGCAGTGTCATTCATGAGCACAGCCTTGAAATGCTGTTTGAGTAGCTAACTACTATTGCACAGCCAAAGTGGGAGCTAAACAGGTCTTTGTATTGGAGTAGGGTATGAAATCCAAGATCTGAATGTGGAGACCTTTCCTCCTATTCTGAAAATGGGAAAGTAACTTGGAGCTAAACCACTGCCTTGTGCCCTTTAAATGACTGCATTCCCTTTTAGGAACCATATTTTTCTAATAAACTACTTCTTAAATGTCTCAGTCCTTTTATATCTCTCCTCTAAACCTCACTGGTTTACTAGCAGTAGATGCCCCTTCCCTGTTAATCTTTTCCAGATGTCCCCTTTTATGGTCTCAGGTGTAGTTGCCCATATGTATAAATGTCCCATGATCTGCTACAACATACCCACACCTACTTCCCTCTCAGGCGAACAATCCCGCCTTACTCCTGCCTCAGGTACATCTTCCAAATCCTCACTTAGAAAATCTCCCAAACACAGCATTTTCTTTCCTTCTGCTCACTATTGTCTGTCCTCCTCACACCAGTTCTGTATTTGGATCACACTTACATGGCACGTAACATCCTTGAGCGTCTGTTGGCTTATATTTGTCCCAGTGCTATACAGGGATTGGTTGGCTGAGGGAATTTATTCAGCACTCTGTGTATTAGTTAGCTGGGTAAGGGAGGTAGCTCCTTCAGGTTGCCCGAGGAAGGGCTCCATTATCTTACATAGCTTTTGACTTTCACAGGATTTTGGAAAGAGGATGGGGGAGGTTAGGTAGGAGTCACTAAACTCAACCACGTTTGCAAAAGTAATTTCAAATCCTCAAGTCCTGGTGGGGAGGGACGGAGGAAGGTTGTGCACTGTATTTTTTTAAGCATTGGACATTCACTTATTGTTGCTTATTTGTATAGCAATAGCACCTAGGAGCCCACTCATGGACCAGGATCCCATTTTGCTGGGCCTTGCCAAACACAGACCAAACAGACAGCCTCAAAGCCAAAGAGCTTCCATTATTTCTTGCATGCCCCATACACAGCTTGCACAGCCCACACATGCATTCATGCTTCCCCTTCTGTCGTTTGCAGAAATTTGCTCCATGTGAAATGTAACAAACCACAGAGATTACAGATAAACCTTCTTTCCTTTAGATAGCGCCTGCTACATATTCACTCTATTTTTTCTTAACAAGAAGCAGTGTGGCTTATTAACACAAAGCTATATTTTCAATAAGGTGAGTACTACAATGATGTACAATTACAGTCTAATAACTTAACACTCAGGAGCACTGTAAAACAACTGGAAAGGACTTGATTATTACAGCTTGCAAATGGACCAGGAAAGCCATTTACCATCATTACAAAGTTAGTTCATTTTGGTGGATTTAACACATGCAGGAAGAAAAATGCATGCTACAGAGTGAGATTTCATTTTACAGCTGTATTATCCAAGTGCTTAAAAGCCTGAATCGGTCCCATGGGTTTTGAAGGATTTTTCGCATAGCATTAGAAAGCAAGAAAAAAAAAAAATCTTGCAACTGTAGAGTTAATAGGACCCTGCTGAAGTCTAACTTCAAAAATTCATGGCCTATAAAGCCATTAAGGACCAGATTTTTGTTTCTGCACCATTCCTGTTAATAACAGCATCTAATTAAAACATCTGTAAAATATTGATTTTTTGAATTTTACATAAAACTTGAAAAAACAATTGTTACATGTTTGAATAGAGGGAGAGAAATCAGCAGTCACTGCTATTAGTAATGGTAATATCTTAAGTTGTAAGATATTCCTAATGTGTACCATCTCTACATTTAAATTAGTCAGATCACAGCAGAGAGAAGACACATGATAACTAAAACAAACATACAAAAACCAACAAAGCTGTTATCATTTAGGCTAAAAATGGCTGTTATGCTTTGTTGATGTTTATTATCTTGGCACATTTCTCATGGGTTTTATAGTTTAATTAACTTGGCACACTTCAGATGGACTTTTTAAACAGTTACTTCCTAAACAGTCAAAAACAAAGACTCTGTGTGAACTTCCCTCCTTTCCCTACATAATACAAGAAAGCAAATTGTTTTATCTGCTGGTTGGTTTCCCTCCACCTGCCACCTGATGAATACTTGTGAGACCTACTTTTCCACTTTCTGTGTTCCATCTTCAGCTAAGTAAGAGATTTACCAATGATTTGCCACTGGGTTGTACATCAGTATAATTTCCTTTCAGTGCTCTGCGGCGAGACGTGTTCATTGCCTGATTGCAGGTGTGATGCACACACTGTGCTCTGAGTTTTATTTTGTGAGGAGGGAGGGAGGCAACAATGTCAAAACAGAGTCAAGGTTCTCCAAACTAAATGCTTCTCTCATAGCAGATGCTGTAGGATATGGTCTACTGCTTGTGGGAAGCTCTCACAGGTTAGGTAAGGAGCTGGATTAATTTTGTCTTCATCTGCTGCTCGATATTTACCTGAAATAAAAGAACAAAAAGGTGCTTTTTAAAAGCTGCTTTAGCTGCCCTGCCAGCCTGAAGTCTTCCCTGTAGCTAGGAGAGATTTTATCTGATGCTCCTATCACTTGTACTTCACGAACAACAAGGCACCATAAAAGGGATACCCACTTGGCATTCTCCTTGACCTAATGCATCACAGATGGTCTTCACAGCGTTAGGCTGAGATTCATTTAACACTCAATTGAGATTCCTCTCCGGGGCAGTTTGACCAAAACCCAGACCCAGTTTTGCATTTGTTCAGATTTGTGCTGGAGTTGTTGTTCCAACACGGCTCTATTGCAGTAAACAAATGTATCACAAGATGTCAAAATCCATGCAGTACTTACCAGTCTTTACTAAAATACCTAGCATGCCAGCATTCTGGGCTCCACCGACATCATCCCTGCAATCCTGGCAGACAGAAGAGGAAACAAGGTTAATCTAGAGTTACAGAAACAATTTGTTTATGGGCATTCTGTGGTGCTCACCACCATGCGACGACCCAGTCTAATCAAAACAATAATGGGCCATATCCTGAAATTAGCACTTACGTAACTTCAGTGAGAATTTTCCCCATGTGGGAGATTTGCTTGAGACAGAACGGCAAGATTTAAGCTAAAACTAATATGGTTTAAATACTCTAAACATTAAGGACCAGCTTTTAAAGAGTATTTATGCACCTAAAGATGCAGAGCGTTGCCTAGTGGGGTTTCTGAAACATCAAGATCAGTGGGAGTTAGGCACTTTTGGAAGTCCCACTAGATGCCTGTGTGCCTTTCTGCATCTTCAGGTGCACTCAAAACATAGGAAATGCCAGAATTCAGGCTGCCGGAGTATTTGACTTTGCAACGTTAATACTGTTCTTCTAATGTACTTAACTTTTTAAAAAAAGAAACTGAAAAAATCCGAATTCCATCATGTAGCATCATATTGACACCCACATGGGTCATCAGCAGAGTTGGAACCTTTAGATTCACCGCACAGACCTCTGCCACTTGATCTAATAGAGAACAGGTTGTCATCCTCTATGTGGACCAGCAGTAGAGGTGGGATGAGACATACTTTGCCAGTGGGTGTCACAGACATTTGCTGACAGAAGAACGTTGACATGGAAATCTTGGGTTCTGTTCAGGCTCTGGAAGGGAGTGTGCTCTAATGGGCACAGATTCTTCTGCCAGTTTCTCCCAGCCTTGACCCCTGCTGCTCTGTCCATTCCAGTCTGTCTTTGGCTCAGTCCTGCCACTTCCCCATGCCTGCTTCTTTCTCCCACTCTGCACTCAGGCTTCTTGTCCCAATTCCATTCCTAGTCTCTTTACCCAGCCAGTCCCAGTTTCTTCCCACACCTGCATCTCATCTGACTCCTTGTCCCAATCCACTTTATGATCTGGCTTTAGTCCCCTCTGTATTCAATCATATGGCTTCCTCCTCCATGCAGCCTTGGCGCCAGCAACAAATCATTGAAAACAAAAGAGAGACAGGCTCACTACTCTCAGTTCTGCTGCCTTAGCCCACCCAGGCCCAGAGGAGCTGGGAACAGCCATTACAGGGAAAGTCTGGCTTTTCCGCTGGAGGAAACATGCTCAGTCATGCGGGGGGGTGGCACATAAAAAATCTGGTCAGTGCTAGCAGCTGTGAAAGGCTTGAGCCTTCTCAGAGCGGACAGAATCTTAATGATAACTGTCCCCTAAATTTGGGCAGATTTTTACAGGGACAGCAAAAGGCACATACTCAACTCAGAGGCCACCCATCTGCCAAATTTCAAGTTCCTGCTCCAAAGGATGGGGGTGCTAGCACAGTTCAAAGAAAAGGTCGCCAGAATTTTTTAACTTGGGGGAAAGCCATGTATTTTCCCTATGTCATTCTCAGAAACAGCTATACCGTTTTAGCTGAAGTTTTCCCCCAAAAAATCAGCATGAGGCAACACCCAGCATGGAAAATTCTAGCCCAATCTTGGCAAAGTTATAAGCAATTGAAAACAGAGTCTTTTAATGGGAAATGTTGGACAACCTTAACAGGTTGTGCTACCAGCCCTGCCCATAACATAATGCAAGATGAAAGCCATTTTGAAACATTAATCAATCACTCTGAATTAACGTCTATTACAACGTAAAGGTCTGATCCTGAAGAAGGAACCATTATTCACAGACCCTTATTCCTGCCGAGAGACCTGCTGAACTCAACGGTATCCTGGGCTGGAGGTAGAGTTCCCGTGGGCAGTTATTTGCAGAATCAGGCCCCAGTTTTCTCCTGACAATATGCAATGTTTGGTTACTACAGCTCTGTAACAAACTTAAGGTAATTACTTTTTTAAACATGGAATGTTTCAACCTTACCTTTAGTAGAGTATTCAGGAGCCAAACATTCAAGAGTGATGGTCTTTAAAGGAACTCAACTCCAATCTGGCCCAAGTGTATATTTTGTAAGAACAAGCTTTGGGATTTTAAAAATTTGTTGTTGTAATTACCTGGTCTTGGTAACAGAGCTGAGGAAACTTGTTCCCTCATAATAAGCGAGTAAGTTGGCAGTGTCCCTTTAAAAGAGCTACTATTTTCCTTGTTTTGGGTAAATATTTTAATTTTTTTTTTAAATTAGTTATCTGAGATAGGTGCAGGATCATGGAAATGCTTATTTGGAGCTGGCAATCTGTGGCATAGCTGTACAGAGGAAGAATGGTCCTATAGTTAAGGCACTGAGCTGGAACTCAGGAGGGGTGGTTTCTATTCCTGGCTACAGACTCTGTGTGAGCTTGGGCAGGCTCAGTGAGGTTATGGGATTGATTAAATGGGTTTTGGATTAGGCCTTAAGTGTTTCTGTGTCTCAGTTCTCTCATCTCTAAAATGGGGTTGACAATGGGGGGATCTGATAACAGTCTTCAGCTATGTTAAGTGTTGTTATAAAGAGGATGGTGATCAGTTGTTCTCCATGTCCACTGAAGGTAGGACAAGAAATAACGGGCAGCAAGGGAGATTTAGGTTAGATATTAGGAAAAACTTAAAGGGTAGTTAAGCTCTGGACTAGGCTTAAGGGACTTTGTGGAATCCCCATCATTGGAGATTTTTAAGAACATGTTGGACAAAAAACTGTCAGGGATGGTCTGGGTTTACTCGGTCCTGCCTCAGCGCAGGGGGATGAACTTGATGACTTTTTGAGGTCCTTTCCAGCCCTACATTTCTATGATTCTAACATTTTCTTATCTCACAAGGGTGCTGGAAGGATATGCTCCTCAAAGTGCTCACATACCACGGAGATGGGGGCCACCTAGGTAGGTAGATGATAATGCACTTACTCAGCCGTTACACTTACGTCGCCAATCATAACGGTCTCCTCCGGCTTGCAGCCAGTCCCCGATAAGGCTTCTAGAAAGAAGGTTGTCTCTGGTTTCCCCACCACTGTTGCTTTGGTATCTGTAGCATATTCCAGTCCAGTTACAAAAGGTCCAGGGCCCAGAGCTAAGCCATCTTTCCTCTTATAATATCTAGCTTTGTGTATAGCTATAAGAGGGGCACCATCCAGGATCAACCTAGAGAGCCAAGGGAAGAGGGGAAAAAAAACACGTTTTGCCTTGGATTCACTGATATGTGCTACTGTGGGCCTGATCCTGCTTCCAGTGATGTAAATGCCAAAAAGCTTTAATGGAAACAGGATCGAGCCCCAAACTGTAGTGGGGTTTAGAATTAGACTACTGTTTTACTGAGCGAGTTACATAAATAAAGTTACTTCCCTTCTCCTTCCAGTCATCAGAACCAGCTAATAAAAAAACCTAATGAAGCCACTGTCTTAGAAGGACTGCAAGAGCCAGAGAAGATTTTTTCAAAAGATAGGTATATATTTCTATTCACTCAGTGATGGAATTAAGTCCTTTATCTAACAGAACCTCAAAGTCACTTTCCCTTGTCTATGGCTGAAGTAAGAACTCATTTGATTTATCCTTGTAAATATTTTATTAGATATTAACTGTAGATAGTGCTTGTGATTTTGATGGCTGTACACATTTAATTTCCTGCTAATCTTCCAAGGCCTTCGCTGGGTGGATTAATATTTCAGTGCTTCCAAAATTACTCTGCATAGGAATTCTGCAATACAGATTACTCAGCAGAGCAAATCTTGGTACTGCCTGTACATCTTCCAACTACACACAATCTCTGTCTGCACAATTCAACTCCCACATTCCAATTCCAGCATGCCCAAGTTTCAATGGGGGCCAGGACGAACTCCATGCACAAATCATCCAAAATGGATGTAAGAAAAAAAAGCATGTTAAAATATAAAGACATGCACTAGTTACAATGAAAGATCAGCATGTCCACAGGCCTACACATCACACACATACATACACACACTACTGAATACTGAAGTAGCTGTTTGATTCTTGGCACCACTGATGCTATCAGAAGTTACATTTTAGGAACAAAGTTGTATACAGTCTCCTTGTTATAGGAAGAGAAAAATTCAGAATGGAGGATTAGTCAAAATGTCTGATCAACACATGCTTAATACCACCGACTAGAATAATGGGAGACTAATGAGTGGAAATCCTTCCACTGTTTCTGCTATCAGAAGTTACATTTTAGGAACAAAGTTGTATACAGTCTCCTTGTTATAGGAAGAGAAAAATTCAGAATGGAGGATTAGTCAAAATGTCTGATCAACCCATGCTTAACACCACCGACTAGAATAATGGGAGACTAATGAGCGGAAATCCTTCCATTGAAGCTCTCAGCTGTCCACAGCTGCTGGGGGCTTCAGAAAGTGGACGTAGAAATGTTTTGGGAGAGCAGGAGCTATTTCCTCCCCCCACAAATTTAGGCTGTTCTCACATTTCCTTAGCTCCATTTTTATTATTCCGATTCTCCAGCAACACATGCTGTAGGATCAGTATAAAATCTAGAACTCTACCTGGGGTTTCTGCAAGCAAGAATGAAAGGAGCTTTTCATTATTCCTGCCAGAACAACCCTCAGAAGAAAGCTGCCACTAGCACAGCATTGTCTGGAAAGATCCAGAGAAACATGAATGGAATAGTATTTTGACTACTACTGCTTACTACAGCAATCGTCATAATCTCACGGTTACCTTGTGCTCCAGCACATGCTTTTTGTGTCCACCTGTTGTCTCATACGCGTAAGCTCCCTGGAGCAGGGACCATCTGTCCTTTTTTGGTGTGTGTACAATGCCTACCCCCCATGGGCAGCTCTAGGAATCAGTGCAACACAAAATAATAATAAATTAAACATGAATATTTGTGATTTGGGGAGTCAGCGGTTAAGAAGGTTTCTTTAAACTAATATTGGGTGTGACTGTCCTAGAAGTTAAGGGAGCTCCGCCCCCACACAATCAGATTCTTTGTTTACATTTTGCCATCACCTATATCATAGTTCTTCTCTACAATGGCCACAGCAGCTCCATAAACATTGAAAGCATAATCAGTAGCACTGGAAAACCTGCTTAATTGCTTAGCTGAAGGAAGGGTCATGGTACTACCAAGCACTGCTCAGATGTTACAATCCTCTCACAAGTCTTAGTTTCACTGCAATAAAAGCCCTATAGATTGTATCTATAAAAGCTGAGGTAATGATCATTGAGTGCTTCCTGTTTGATTGGACAGAAAACTCTTCACATACCACAGCCAATTCCAAGTCTTTATCACAAGGGGTAGAAATGTAACTAGTACAGTGGAAAACAATCAATGGGGACCCTTTGACGGTTTCCTTGGACTGGGAAAGGAGGACTTTTTGTCTTTTTAGTCCCATTAATCTTGCATAGAAGCCTTCCAGAAAAATCCAGAGTGCAGAGCGACCTCCTATTGACCCTTCACATTCTTTCAACACTAGTCTGACACTCTGCTGTAATTCTACCCAAAGAACTGGATCTATCTAAATCAGGGTGAATAAATAGCAATGATTTTTTAAATTTAAAATTGGATTTTTTTTTATTTAAATGCAATTTAAAATGAAATACAGGCTTATTTAAAATAAAGGTTTAAAATTAAATTTAAAATTGTTGACCTGTTAAGTCCTAAACTTATTATAATCAATTAAAATAATTTAAATTAAATACAAAATATAATACAAGCAGTACATGTTTGCTGCCAAGTTTTAAAGTAAGTTCTACTAGTTTGGGTCACTGGCTAGGCACCAAGAACCAGTCTGTTGAAGTGCTAAACCAACTTTTGCCAGCAGTTCCAATATTTTCCTCATTTCAGTTTATTCAACAAGTTCGGTTCAGTGACAAGATCATTCAAAGTGTGAGGAAAAAACCCAACTATGGGGCATTGAAAAAGCAGGAAAACTTGTTTCCTTTTCCAGTCTATGAATAAAAATTAGGTTTGAGAGGAGGAGATCTACTAATTTTAAATCTGGAAGGACATGGTGACCAGAAACTATTCAATTCACTAACTACAGATCATTCTTCCTTGGTTTAATATATCAGTTTGTTTTAAATGCAAAACATATTTTGATAAGAAAAAAATGTTTATCAAAAAGGTTAGGTATCCAGCACATTGGAAGTGGCTTTATTTAATAAAATGTAAATGCTGTTTTTGTGCATTTTAAATTGAATTTGAACTTCCACACAGAGCTTGACACAAGTCACAAGTAAAAATAAGTAATAATCTAGTAAATAAGAAATGCACCATTCACCATTTGCTTACATAATAAAAATGTAAAAATTAAGAATCTGAACAAACGTACATTAAGCTATGCAACTGCTTAAAAATGTGTATCCTCCTGATTAGCAACCAAACAAAAAAACCCCAAATTCAGTGTAAAGGTTTTAATGATTACCTATCAGTGAAAAACAAACCTTTCTTTAGGAAAATAACTAAAAAGTACAAATGAAAAACACAATTCAAATCGATGCTTTAAATCAAGGTTTTCTGCTTGCTGATTTAAATCATGATTAAATTGGCAATTTAAATCGCTTTGATTCAAATCAGTCCATCCTGGTCTAGGTTAGGCAGATGCCTCCTGGAGCAAGTCTCTCTTCATATGCGTTTGCAAAGCGCCACAGGCACCTGCAGTATTATAAAAACGATAATATTTCACTCCATTTCATTAGTACAAGTAAAAAAAACTTACACTGAATCAATTTAATCCAAAACAGATTCAACAAGAACAAAGCACTCATCACTGGTCTGCTCATTATGGGTAAAAATCGTGTGTTACTTTCTTAGATATGCATCACTGAAATCTGACGTGAAGCTTGTTTGGGGCAGAAACTCAATTGAAGATCCACAGTTTTAACTCATGTTTAAACTGCGTAAATTCACATCTACCTATTTATTTTGGAGTTCTAGCCACTGGCACATGGGTAGACATAGTCATTATTAGGGAGCACATGGAGAATGAGACACCTTTAACAATATGTGCTATTAGCTTTACCAAGGTTTTCAGATGTATTCACCTGACCATGTCTTTCAGACCTGGATCTGCAAACCTCTGCTATAGCCAGATCTGCACACAGTGGGAGCAGACAATTGGGATACGGAAGAATTTAATATTGCAGAAGCACAAAGATACTTACATTCAATAGTTAGGTGGAAGAATCTAACCCTATAGCCGAGGTTCTCAAACTGGGGGCACGCCCCCGGTATGTATTCTGGGGTGGGATGTGAGAAACTTTAGGGAAAAAATATCTTACTGCGCACATTTTACCCACAGTAACGAATAACTGGCAAACAACTGATTCCTCCAGACATATCAGGTCATCAGATAGCACTTTTTGGCCTGAGGGCCACATCGGGTGTCTGAAATTGTATGGAAGGCCGATTAGGGAAGGCTGTGCCTCCCCAAACAGCCAGGCATACCCTGGCCCCCGCCCCCTATCTGACCCCCCCTGCTTCTCGCCCCCCAACCGGCCCCCAGGACCCCTGCCCCATCCACCCCCCCTCATCCCCTAACCGCCCCTGGATCCCAGCCCCCGACTGCCCCCGCCGCTCCATCCAACCCCTCCTCTCATTCCTGACTGCCCCACCGGGACCCCTGCCCCTCCTTGTCTCCTGACCGCCCCTGGATCCCTGCCCCCAGATCCCTGCCCCCGCCGCTCCATCCAAACCCCCCTCTCCTTCCTGACTGGCCCCCTGGGACCGCTGCCCCCATTCAACCCCCCTGTTCCCCACCCTCTGACCAACCCGCCCCCTATCCACACCCCCACCCCGTGACCACCACCACGAACTCCTCTGCCCTCTATCCAACCCCCACTACTCCCTGCCCCCTTACCGCACTGCCTGGAGCACCGGTGGATGGCAGAGCTACATCCACGCCACCCAGAGCACCAGGACAGGCAGCTGCAATGCCCGGCTGGAACCAGCCACGCCACCACACAGCACAGAGCACCGGGTCAGGCTGCGGCCCGCAGCCCCACCACCCAGAGCATCGCGCTGACGGCGCAGTGAGCTGAGGCTGTGGGGGAGGGGGAACAGTAGGGAAGGGGCCGGGGTCTAGCCTCCCAGGCCAGGAGCTCAGGGGCCGGGCAGGAGGGTCCCGCAGGCCGTAATTTGCCCACCTCTGTTCTAGATGGTAGTTCAGAACCACATGTATTTTTTTTTTTTTTAAAAAAGTAGTATTTACAAGTTCAGTCTCTTCAGATGGAGCTTTTGGTGTATAGGGAATGCAGTATCTAGCCCCACCAACCTTGCATCCCACCTCCTGGGTTATGTGGTCCTCAGTATGTTGTTATAAGCACTGTGAATCCCAAACTCTCTCATTAAGAGAAGGCACTCAGATACTGTGCTGATGGGTGCCAGTACAAGAGAGAGAATGAAACCATTATTTACACACTTTCTTTAGAAACAAACAAAACCCGCAACAGCTGAATGAAGTTTGCTCAAAGTTTTCCTCAGTACTGAGCCAGTCATTCAGGGCACATCCCCATCCTCTCGGAGCACAGGATTTACGATGTATTTTACTCTTCAGTGCTCCTCTGTGTTCCTCACAGCAGGGCAGGACAGGAGCCCAGAGTGACTGAGGGGTAGGAAGAGCAAAAGACTCATGTTCAGTCTCTTACAGCTCAAGCAGTTTTCTAATAATACCAACAATAAGTCCAAGTTAAATGGATCCTAAGCCTCCAAACTAGTAGAAGAGCAGTGTGTGGCTGAATGCATTGCACAAGGGTAGGTAAAATGGCACCGCACAAGCCACTGAGAAACGGGCACAAATGCAGTCACTTGTTTTAACCATGTTATCATTTCAGCAACCTAGAGACAAGAGAGACCAAATACTGTTTCTCAGTGGAGCACAGGAACAACCAGACTGGATCAGACACAAGGACTCAGCTTTTCCAGTATTCTGTCTTCACCTGTGGCTAGCAGCAGATGTTTCAGAGGAAGATGCAAGAAATCCCACATTAGGCAGATGCAAGAGGGCTGGAGGGGGGAAATCTGCCACCACCATTAGGTCTCCCAATCCCTAACAATTAGAGGTTGTTTTAAATCCTGAATCTCAAGATTCCAAAATGTATTAATTCTGGATATTCCTGTAACAAATGGCCAAACCCTTTTGGAATCTTGCTCACTTCTTGTCCGCTACAACATCCTGCGGCAATAGTTCTACAGTTTAATTCCAGGTTGTGAAACCCATTTAATTCCATGTTAAACCACCTTAAGATAAATATGCAGTTAAGCCTCCAGATCCAGCAAGCCCATTACACCTATGGCACTGGAAAAAGACACTTTGAGCCTTACCGAAGCAACTGAGTGTTCTTGCTGTTACCTCTTATTCCCCCTCCTGCCTATTACTTCTCACACTGGTTGTGTCTAGCTGTAAATTAGACTGTAACCTCTTCAGGGCAGGGCCTGTCTTTTATATGTTTGTACAGAGCCAAGCACCAGTTAGATCCTGATTGGGGTATTGGGTGCTACTAGAATACAAATAATGCATAATACTTTAAACCTCTGGTTATCTGAAGACAGGAGTGGAAGACAAGGTTGGATCACTCCATAACTGCCCTGTTCTGTACACCCCCCCTGACGCTCTCGTATAGGCCACTGTTGGAGACAGGATACTGGGCAAGATGGACCATGGTCTGAGCCAGTAAGGTAACTCTTATCTTCTCACGACTTACCGAAATGCTTTATTCATCATCTGATAGTTAAAGTGCTCAGGAGCTAGTCCTACCACCACAGCATTGGGATCATTTGTAGGTATCCCTGGAAAATTAAAACCAAAACACAACCCCTCAGATTTACTTACTCTAAAAAACATTTGTAAACAACAATTTTTGTCTTATGACCAGTGAGCGAATTAGTTTATACCTAACAAAAAAAATTCAGCCTTCCATGTGGTTAAATGCCTCCCTGGACCTCCTATACAAAGTCAGAATAGAAGGGCTTTGTGCAGGGCAGCTAAGAAGAGCTGGCAGGGGAAATGGAATCATTGCCTACAACCCCTATAGCTTGTGGAGAGGCTGCCTGGACACTCCACTTCTACAGCCCAGGGCTGCATTAGCAGACAAGATCCACAGAGGCTCCCTAAATAGGGGAATCAGAAACTTCTGGATCCATATGGTAACTGTGTCTCCAGTGCAACCACAACCTCCTTCCCTCCAGGGTGCTCCAGAGAGACTTACCACAGCATGACTGCAGGGCGTATGCAGTCCTAGCACACAGCTACTTCTCATGTTATCCCTTCACCCAGCAGCACAACAGCAGTTCCACTGTGCCAGGACTTCTAGAAGCTGAGGGGGGGACTGGCCATCTGGCCCATACTTAATCTACATACGGCAGAAGCCATTAAATAAAGAGTCAACATTGACCAGTTACTACTGACAGTTCCCATTCTAAGAATAAAGGGAAAACTACAGCATCTCAGGAAGCAGTCCTTTGTAGAACCTGTAGGGACACATGCGGACATCTTAATGGTGACCACTATGAATAAAAGGTAAAAAGACTGCACTGTTCCCAGTGCCCTGTAGAAGAAGAGGCATGAAAAAATGAATGGCTTCTCTCTTCCGGCAAAAATGCACAAACTAGGAAATCTGAACAGGAAATTATAACCCTCTGAAACATGGAGCAGTTCTAACTTCCATGATCCTTGCTGATTACAATCCACAAGGACCACTGTAAGGAGGAAAGTGGGCAATCAGATCAATAGCAACTGATGGAAGATCCCAGAGGCAGATAAGATTGGATTCATTAGTTGATACACTCGGGGTTAACACTTTCCTGTTGCACATGGAGGCAAGCATTAATTTTTGGTTTTCACAAGAAGTGTTATCGTCTTCGGTTTAAACACACTGACGCCCTTTCATTTTAAAAGTAGACTGAGTACAGTTAGCCGTTGGACAAGAGAAGTCAGCATTTCCTGACACAGACACTTTTAGTTCAGTCCTCAGATCCATAAGTACATGCACATAAAATGGATTAATGTATGTCTTTCAGCACTGACAACAGATAAAGGAGTTGATGTGTCAGGAATCTGCTGTTCTCCATAAGGCATGTAACTCCAGATAAGCAATTGTGATGATAGATCCACCCAACCACACATACTGAAAGATTTAACTAGTGTAGGGACAGAGCATAAAAATTCTTCATTTTTATCGCCATCATCTGAAATAGAAATCTCTGAATACTTAATTTACACGGTTAGTTACCAGGTGCTTTGCACGTTAATTAGACTGCGATAGTAAATTTCAGTGAGTGTTTTGCTGTCCTCTGGTTATTGGAACTTCTGCTTGGGGTGAGATTTCTTTTTGGCAGGCATGGTTGCTGTTGTTGTAAATGTCATTCTGGTTATGATGGAAAAGCTCTATCCAAAGAGGAAGGCTTTGCAGCAGGACCTGCAGGCCATCACACCTGCAAGCCATCACACTTTCGTTTAGTCTCTTCTGCAAGTTCGTTACACAGCCAGGTGCCCTTGAGAATACCTTATCTCCAGTTCTCACATGCTTTGTCCTGCATTGTTCTAGAGCACAACTTTTTTGGCAGTTCTCAGATGGTGATGTCATCTCTAATGTAGCTAGGACATGGCCCACTAATACCTTTGCACAACAGGATCAAGTCACAGAACCAGCAGTGGAAGTAGAGTTGGAGCCAGTGTAGGGACAGGAGCACAAGGGTGAGGCAGGCAGCAGCATCATGCACATGCTGGCGTTTTTGCACTGCTACCCTTGCTGGAATAACTAGCACTTCTGTGCCTCAACAGGTCTGGAGTGAAACAGATTATGGTCCTGTGTCTCATACTGCACATCTTTCAGCAAACCCAGAGAGCCAAATACAAAATGTAGCGTTCAGAGACACCATGTAGATTTAGGACACTCTCTGAAATCATCTGGGTCCATTAACTAAAGAATGGATTACACTCATCCATCTGTGACCAATCTTATGTGGGGAAAATTATCCAAGAACAATCCAACAGCAGTTACTAACAGGAATTTAAAATATTCTCCATTTTACTTAATTGTTTCGGGAATGCTACTGAGAGTATACATAAGTGACTCTGCATATGGAAAAGACCCCAAGATAACCAGTGCAGTCCACGTTAAGTCTAATCAATGCACAGAAATGGCACTGATTTGACTAAACCGATTTAGAAACAAACGGCAGATACTGGCCTAGATAAGGATTGTAGAGAGCATGGATACAGAAGCTGTCCCCAGCAACAGGGATCTGATTTAAAAAAAAAAGAAAGAATAGATTATAGTTTCACTGCCCATAGCTCACTGAGACTTTTCTGAAGAATACTGAATAGAATGTTGGATGAAATTTAGATAGAAAATTCCCAGCTCCTAGCATGAAAGGATAAGACCCTACTGAAATCATAAACCTGTTAGGACTTAAATTTTTGGCATGTGTGTTGGAGGGGGGCGGGAGAGGAAACAATACCAAATGATCCACAACTTTGTCACCCTTTGAGTTAAAATTAAGGGATATTAACATTCTGATTGTTTGCAAATCTGGTAAATTTAGAATCTGGATATTTTCATTTTTCTCAATATAAAGACTTAATGGTAACCCAATAAATGTTTATTAATTCATGATAAATGACAGTAAAATGCCTTAGGTTTTTACATTTGATAATCACAAAGCTAATACATGATAATATCAAATCCATTGCAGTAGCTTTCATCATTGTTGTAGCTTATGAATTGTGATGATTTTGCTAACCTACACGAACAGGCCATTAAGCATGCAGAATATAGCACCGTTCATGGCGCTGAGGTTTAATTAAAATCAGCAAAAATCACATTACAACACTGTAGCTAGGTACCTATAGTAATTCATAAAACTAGTCAGTTTATTCCCCAGAGGTGGGGTCCTCTGAACACTTCTTGGAGCACTAACAATCCTGCATCCTTATCACAGGTGCTGACTCCGTGAGTGTTCCAGGGCTGCAGCATCCACGGAAAAATAATAGTGGGTGCTCAGCATCCACAAGCCACCCGCCAATCAGCTCCTCTCCCCGCCCCTCCCCAGTGCCTCCCATCTGCTGCTAATCAGCTCTTCGGTGGCAGGCGGGAGGCACTGCGGGGGAGGGGGAGTAGCGGGGGTGAGAAGAGGTGGAGCGAGGGTGGGACACGCTTGGGGGAGGGAGCGGGAACAGGTGGGGAATGGGCGGAGCCTGGGCTGGAAGAGGCGGAACGAGGGTGGGGCCTTGGGGAAAGGGGTGGAGCACCCCCGGGGGAAACTGAAAGTCGGTACCTGTGATCCTTATTTTCATTTTAATCTCTACACTACTTACAGGCCCTGTATGGTCACACCTGTCCTTTTGGCAGAAGACAGCGGGATGCAATAGGGGCCAAAGGTCCAATCTTGGTCCTGAATTTGTGCAAGGGAACATTGCACAGCAGCCCTTCACCCTATGTAGGACTTATCATACCACCTCTCCCACTACCACCCCACATATCCTACACTGTCCCCAATCCTTGACAGCTCTGAAACAAAAACCCATACTAGTCTGCCTCTGGTAGTGGAGGCTGATGACATCTCAAGGTGAACAGACACAAATGACACATGAAAGTACCATTCAGTCAATTTACAGCACTGCGCAAAGATGGTCATGTATCTGAATCGAGAAGGAATGGGCACTATGGAGGGGACACAACAACTGTTTTAAGGGCTCAGCAACACTACAGAACAAGAAGCAAATCAATAGGATACAATAATCTATAGATGAGTTTAAGTAGGCGGAATGCACTTACCCAAATAGACAGGTGGTCAAATTAACACTGGAGATAATTACTCCTCTGATACATGCTAGGGTCTCTTTAATGACTGAGAATCTCAGCTTCACATTTTAAATGACAGGGATGGGATCTCACCTATTTACATGGGACAGATGATTGTAGAAGTTCCATCAGCTAATACTATTTCAATAAGGCTCACCAATGCTGCTCCCAAGTTCAGCTGATCATCACCTTACCTCTGAAATCTTGCAAAGCATTGTCGTCCACCAGGAGCAGGGGCCGGACCTGCTTTTGCTCCAGGAGGTTTCTGGCTGCAGTCAGAGATGTGAAGATCTCATCTTCTGCAATGTCAAATTCCAGTGTCTTCAGCCTCTCCAGAAGGTCTCTCTTGCTCTCTTTGGTTGTGTTGGTCACAAATCTAATGGCAACTGGAGCATTGCGTAATCTAATCCAGGGAAAGCAAATCTGAGTTAACTAGAGAATTTTGCTACATACAACATACATTTTTAATGTGACTTTCACTCATTTTCTTTCTATTTTAAAGGGACACTCGGTATATAAGCAACTTCTGAAAAGACAATCCCCTTCCCTTGCTGCACATTAGATTACAGATGCCAAAAAGAACTGTAAACAGCTGATGAACTCCTGACCATTTAGCTTGTTTATTTTTTGTTTTTCAATCAGTTGGGTCAATAATCAGATTTAAGGCCCATTGTCCAACAAAAGCAGTCAGGGTCCTCAGTAGGAAGAGAACCTCTTCCACTGGAGCTAAAGGAGTAATGTGCCAGTAGCAACAGTATTCTCTATGTGGAGCAGCCACTAAAGTGGAACATTACACATGGCCAGTGTATTGCATCTGTGACGCTGGCAGACAAGTGGTGCCAGAGGGGGTGAGGGGGAGGTGCACGCGACGGACAGCGTGGGGCACATGGGGCTGCTGGGGGATCATAGACTGGGATTCAGAAGAGCTAGTGGGGGGGGGGGGAAGACTAGGACAGAAACTGAATGGGAGTGGGGGTGCAGGGACACATGGGGACGAGGGGAGGGGTGCAGAGACACATAGGGATAGGGGAGCAGGGGTGGCTGAGAGAGGGGGCAGGGCCACATGGGGTCAGAAGGAGGGTGAGGGAGCTGAGTGGGGGTGCACATAGGGGTCCAGGGATACATGGGGACAGGGGGAGGGGGAAGGAAGGTGGCTGAGTGAGGGGGTGCAAGGACACATAGGGTTGCAGTGACACATGGGGAACAGGGACAGATGTGCCTGACTGAATGAGAGAGGCTAGGAGTCAGCCAGGGTCTGCATGAGAGGGGGGCTCCCCGACTGTCTAACATTCTCCCTTCCAAAAAACATGCGCCATACTTCTCCCACCCACACTCAACAACCCTCCAGGTTCACACCCAGTCTTCTTCCCAGCAATTCCTTCCCTCTCATAGAATCATAGAATATCAGGGTTGGAAGGGACCTCAGGAGGTCATCTAGTCCAAAGTCATCTAGTCCAACCCCCTGCTCAAAAGCAGGACCCATACCCAATTAAATCATAAAACTCCCTCAGCTCCTCCGTTATGCCTGACTCCCCCAAGCCTTTGCATGTCTTTTGAGGGATGCAGGAAATACATTTCTGTATTGTAGTTTAAATGAATTATTACTCAAAATTCTATATGAATATGCCTAGTAAGGAATCTATTTATCAAAAAATCATTTCCTGAATCTTCTTTTTTGATCTGTATTGTTGCAGACATACTTGCTGACAGGTATTTTGACATAAATTATCAAAATAACTGAAATTGGCATAATTATAGTGCGTTATTTTGGCAAATAAAATATGCAGAATTTTAAAATATTGTGCAGAATTTTTAATTTTTTGGCGCAGAATTCCCCCAGGAGTAGTGTGTGCATGTTTACCTGCTTTAATGTTGTAAATAACTCATTTCTTTTTCTTAGTTAATACATCTTCAGTTAGTTTATTATAGGATTGGCTACAAGCATTGCCTTTGGTTTGAGATCTGAGGTACAACTGACCTGGGATAAGTGACTACTCCTTTGGGACTGGAAGTGACCTAAATATTTTTGGTGTAAGGGACCATCTAACACAAAGGCAGTCTTGCCTAGGTGGCAATGTAGCTCAGAATGGCAACAGGGACTGTCTGTGACTCCATGGTTAGGTGTTATAGTGCTACAGGAGTTCACACTTGATACTTGGTTGGTGAAATCTAAGCACAGATCTCACAACAAAATTTGGGGTTTGTGCCCTGCTTTTTAACAGTCTGCCCTGAGGTTGGCACTCACAGTTGTGAGACACTCCAGAAAGCTTTACAGCATCTGCGTTGCGAACAATACAAGGAAACATTAAAAACCCAAATAAGAGAAATATTTTCAGTTCACATTTTATTTAACTTAATAAAAAAAATGTTTCTATGAGCCAACGTTACCAAGAGTAGAGGGGAGCAGAACCCAGTAGATTGGGTCAGGGGATGAAGAAGAGGGAAGTGCCAGCTCCACAATTTGTGCCCCTTCCCACTCCAAACTTACAGAATCTAAAGTTGCAGCTCTGGACTGGGGAGTCTGTGCATTGGGGGGTGGAGGGGGCAACATGTGCACGAGGAAGGAACCTTGGCATAGTTCTCACACTACCCCACCCATCCTGGCGCAAGTTACTGCTGCGTTAGCATTTGCTTCTGTGGTCCCCATCCCCACCTCAAAAAGAGTCAAATACCCCTGAAGGGGTGATGTGCTGGCCAGAGAGCCTGTAGCCACTTCAATGGGGAGTCACCTCTTCCCTGCCCCCCTGCTACCTATAAAAATGGAGGAGAAAATTCAATGATTTCAGACTCAGTCTTGCAGCTACAAAAGAATAACTTGTATAAGGTTGCATCTGAGCACGCTGTATTTAGGTTCTTCAAAACCCTTTTATTTAAACTTAAAGTCTTTATTTTGGATCAGCTACATGACAGCATTCCTAACTAAAAACATTTACCACCTTGTGGCTAAATTACTATATTGAACTCAACATGTCTAGCAAATTTCATGGCAGCTGGAGCATTGTGCATCGCCATACATGCTAGGTGAAGCTGTGTTATCTGTTTGGCAGTTTTATGTTAGCTTCTGCTGCCTTTTTTCCCAACTGAAAAACACCAATCACCACAGAGTTAGGGCTGTGCATGCTCCTGATGATCACATAATTCCAAGAGACAGCTTTAATGGGATTTCCTTTATTTTACTTTTAATTACTCCCCCACCATCCCTTTATGCATTTGTTGCTACAGAAACAAACACTGGCATCAATATAGCACAGTGAAAACAAGAACAAAGTTTGTCAATGCTGGAGATCTGCTGGTGCCTGCTGCTGATCCATTTCACCTGCCCTGCTCTCTCAAAGGATGTGCCGACATTTTATTCAGTGATAGGCTGCTAGAGAGGTCACCGTTTTGTCCAACAGTTACTGCTGAAGCTGAAACTGAGTTTTTGCTATGTCACCTGCAGTGCTAAGATGTAATCCTGGCAAGCAGAATCTACTCACTTGTTCACAGAATGAGCCACGTTCCAATTGCTACAGCTTCTTTTGGGAAGAGCAATTACCTGGGGATATTTCTTTAAGTCTCCAAGTAAAAAAATCTGGTTGTTCTTTGCAGTGAAAATGACTGGCCTTCTTTACAGGGCTGCTATCCCAGGTACAGGCAGGGCATGCACTAGAATATGATTTATAGGTGCAATACATCTTCTTCCCCTCCCACCTCCCCCTTTCTCACACTGACCCAGGCCAGTACAGTACCTGGCTGAGCAAATCCCAGTAGAAACCAGGTGGAGATGGTACAGAAAGTAGGAGAGAAGCAGTGGCTGTGTGGTAAAATAGCTCCTCATCTCCTTATCCCACACGAGCCCCTTCAACACTCTCCCTCTCAGGGATTGAAGATCTGGAGGTGTACACTGAACCTGGGAGGAGCCTAGATGATCTCTATGGCACCCCCCACCCCCTTCCAATCTATAGGGATTTCCCCATGGAAGATAATACTAACCCCCTTGATATCATTTTCCACAGGTTTTCCCTGAGCACAGATGCAGCATGGAGCAGTGGCCAACCAGGACCCATGTTGCCACAGGATTTCCAGGGGATTAGTGGTTCTCACTCCTTTTTCATTCTACAGGTTTAGGAGGCAACTGTCTCCACCAGTGTTAGTAGAAAGAAACTCAGGCGTTTCCTGATCCCTCTGTGAGTTTTCCCTCCAACTAGTGGTTTAGCACTACAAGTGTCTAATTCGGAAACCACAGTTACATATATAGGCCCTGACCCTGCAAAGACCCATGCTTAACATTACACTTTAAAAGTAATCCTACTGAAAACAATGGGACTATTCACAAAGTTATGCATAAAGTTAAGCATATGTGTAAGTCCTTGCAGAATCAGGGCCTTATGTCTTCCCCCTACTCAGGTCATTACTTCTGCATCATTTAAGGTGTCATCTCTTAATCAATTTGATCCTATAAAATATGGGGAGAAACCACCAAAGTTAAGAAAAGGATCTGTTTTCTAGGAGGAAGCATTCTCTAGCAGTTAGCAGATGGCAACAAGACCCCTGGGTTCCTTTCCTACCTCCAGGTCATTGATGTAGGAATAGAGAGCATACATCTGAATAGAAGACCTGAAGAAGAGCTCTGTGTTGCTCACAAGCTTGTCTCTTTCACCAACAGAAGTTGGTTCAATAAAAGATATTACTTCACCCATCTTGTCTCTTTAATATCCTAGGACCAACATGGCTATAAGAACAGTGCAATTTTACAGACAGGTATTTATATCTCACTCATCTGAGTGCTTGGGGATAATGACACAACCTACTAGGAGTGCTGGGAGGATTAATTAACATTCTGACATTCTCAGAAAAGCGGGGCTATATTATCAAACATTTCCATAGCATGGTAAATTAATGTGCTCTAAAATTGGGCCTTTTGCTTCGCAGAACAAGTTTTAAAAAAAACATTGTTAATAAAATGAAGCAAAAACTAAGCAGAAAGGCCAAATTAAATGTAGGCTCCCCAAAGAATACCCTATGAGCCACAATCTTCCCCCAGTTACTCTAAATTTATATCACTGTAACTCCAGTGGCTTCAGTGAAGTTACTATGGAGTCAGTCCAATGTAACTGAGAGTGGAATAGGGTGACGTGTATATTTGCTTATGTACATCAGGAGAATGAGGCACAAGCTCCAGAAAAGCCATTCAGCTAATGAGGTATCTGTATAAAAACAGCACTTACATGCATTTTTGTCTTTCAGAGGAACATGGGAGGGATAACTTGCCTTTTAAGAGCTTCCTGTGAACCCGGCACAGCTGAGTCCTCAATGTGAAGTGTGCCACTGAGATCCACCAAGACTGCTTTCAGCACGCGCCGAGCTGCCATCCTTCATTCCCCAGGGAAAAAAAATAAATGAAACAAAAAACTGGTTAGGAGACAATGGATGATAAAAATGAGGAACTCTGTTAAGCATCTCATTTGTGCCAAGCCTGGTATTCCTCAGAACATTACTCATAGTATTAAATGGGCCCCTTTAGATAGAGAAATGAACAGCAGTGTTTAAAAAAAATACATAATTGATGGGGTGGTATTTTCTTAAAGACACTATATATGGAAATCAGGTGCTTCTTTTTTTTAAGGGCTTTTATATGAGCCTTTAAAAATTTTCTAAGCAACTAAGACCATAGGGAAGGAGATATTTAGGTATGATATTGCTGGATGGAGGCCTCATCTTGCAAATCTTTGCTCATTTAAGTACTCCCACTGACTTTAGTGCATTACTCACATGAAAATACACAGTATTCAGCAATTATGTAACACTTTCAACTCTATAGCGCTCAAACTGTTTTACAAAAAGGGGTATTATTCCCTTTTTGCAGATGGGGAAACACAGGCACAAACAGGCTAAGGGATTTGCCTAAAGTCAGACAGTGTATCAGTGACTGAGCCAACAATAGAATCCAGGTTGCCTAATTCCTAGTCCCAAACCCTGTCTAGCATGCCAAGCCACAAAGCAAGTGAAACCTGACAGGACTGGGTCCCAAGATAGCTGGCAAAAAACAGGCTTGCAGCGTGCCAATCTGGAAGTCAATGAGCACCCAGCAGGGTCAGGACCCTCATTTTGTGAGGCAACAGTCAAAATCTTAGATCAGAACACTTCTGTGCCATACAAACAAGTGCAGAACGCTCGGCCTAAAATAGAAAGCAGCATTCCAGGGGTACATAGAAGGGTGGACGCTCGGCCTAAAATAGAAAGCAGCATTCCAGGGGTACATAGTAGGGTGGAGGAACAAGGATTCTGTTTTTCAGGCCTGTCGGCAAATCACATGTGGCAGAAGAAGAATCATCTGCAGAAACTAGTACTAGTCATTAAAACATCCCTAGTTCTGATACCCTTTTGAACTGTGTCTGCTGCTCCTTGAACACCTTTGCTCAGCCAGTTGTCCCCAATTGCCTAATGGCACAGTCTGCTGTCTCTAGATTTTAATCAGTATTTTCTGTTGATCTGTTTTGATCACAGTACATAAGAAATTTGGCAGAGTATTGAACCGGGTGACGAGTACCTGCCTTAGTAGATTTTAAATCTTTTATCAGAACATTGTTATCAATTCATATGAAGGACCATTTATGTTTAACTGAAATCAAATCAGTCATGAACCTGATATCTAAGGTACTAGGGAAATTCTACAACTCATACTGGTAGATGGTATCAAGGAAGTTTAAGCATATCTTAAAAATTAGTCTGATACTATGAAGGCCAAGGCTGAACTTCTATGATAAAAAGTTGATAAATGACTATATTGGCAGAGCTAGTGAGGGATATTTGGCAATTTCATTATAAAGAGGGCATCTGGTGGTAATTCAACACCTTCTCCAAGGGTCAAATCTTCTGGCCCAAATTAAGGCCATCAATGTACCTGAATGCAATGGAAACAGCATAGCTTCACACTATCTAAATGCCACAGAGCTGTTTTCCATGAGGCCTTTCAACCCTAGCACAGGAGCTTTTAAGGCAGTGGTTCTCTGACTTTTGTACTAGTGACCCCTTTCACACAGCAAGCCTCTGAGTGTGACCCCCCCCATAAATTAAGAACACTTTTTAATATATTTAACACCATTATAAATGCTGGATGCAAAGCAGAGTTTGGGGTGAAGGCTGACAGCTCGTGACCCCCCATGTAATAAAGTCATGACCTCCTGAGGGGTCCCAACCCCCAGTTTGAGAACACCTGTTTTAAGGGATGAGGGGGGACAGAAAAGCAGATCCGCCAGTCCTGCTTACATGAATTCGCCAGCCAAACCTCATGCCAGCATAGCAAGCATGTAGTGTTCATATGAACAGCCGCAGCAGCTGAGACAGTGACTATGCTGCAGCTCCAAGGCCCGATGGGTGGGAGGGAATACCTTACCCCCTCACCGCTATAACTATTGACTCCTCTGTATGCAGCCCATTTACTCAGGCTGTTCTCAGAGAGCAAGCTTTCCCCATAATTAACAAACTTGGTCATATACAGAACTCCTTTCAATGTAGCTGAAAAGTGGAGCGATTTTAAGAATAAAATTCAAAATCCAGTCAATCCTGTGATACTTTGAAATCCAGGCATCAATGCTCACTTACTTATACAGCAAGTGGCTTAATGTAATAGACTGGAGAACGGTAGAGAGAGACATCCTTCCCTCTCCCTTTTCAGCATCCACCCTGTGAACCTTATTCATGTTCTGCCTCTCTAAAGACAATCTTATTTCAGAGAGTAGGGGATGAAACATGCAACCAATCACTGCAGCATACTGTCAATGAGGAACTCAATATATTGTACAGTGTCAGCTACAGTTCTAGGGTGATTCATAACTATCATTTTGGGCTGACCACTCTCCATTATTTGCGACCTAACATCCCACATTGTGTATCAATATACTGTAAGCTGGGCTCTCCTGCCCACATTTTGTAATAACCATACAAGGGAGTGTACATTGTGATACACATGTATGGTATAGTGCCATAAATAAAGCAGATGATTAAAACAATATATCATTAGTTTGAATACATACCCCTTATTTGAAAAGATGTCCCTTACTTGATCCCTATTGTTCTGCATCATGTCAATACATAAGCTACTTTATCCCATATATTTCAGCAATGATTATGCAAAGTACAATACCCTCTGATACCAGTGTATATTATACTAGCTATGATCTTGTACTGCAATTAAAACACCATATGGCACAATAAACTCTAAGCTGCATTTATTTCACCCACCGCATCTCCTTTCTCTCCTGGAATTGCAGGGGGTCACCACTGATCACATAGGTCAACTTATGTGGACAATGGTTACATTACAGAAGATAAAACCCAGGAAGAGGAAGTGAGCTGTGAATCCTCATGCTCCAGGGCACGAGCCACCCACTCTCCACCTGGGGTGAGGAAGGAAGTGCTGCTATGGGCAGGTTAGTCCATAACTGCCCACTACGGGACCTGTCACAGGCTGGACAGGCTATGGGTCTGTGCCCAAGAGGCAGCTCTCATGGCGTGTGTTACCAAGGGGCCCCCAACAGGGCTCACCCATGCATTGTGGGAAATCAAGCCCTCCAGGAAGCTCTATATGGGAGGAGACAAGGTCACCCCTAGGAAGCCTGGGCGGGGCCTGTGGTTACGCCCCGCCCCCGAGAGGGTGGGCGCTGACAAACCCCACCCCCCTCAGTGCCCCGCTCTCAGGCCTGACACCCCTGATACTAGGAAAGGCAGGAGGGCAATGGAGACTCAGCCTCTCCCATATACACCAAGTGAAATGTGGCAGAGCGAGGACTGGGGACTCCCCTCCTCGCCATGGAAATGGTACCGTCCTCTCACCGCAGAGGGTCCATTCTCCCGCGAGGGGTGACACACAGAGAGTGTGAGGTGCGACTGGGGCTCCCTCTTCCTCACCCTTTCTCATGCAGTTGGTCCCGCCTTCTCCGTAGAGACAGCGGGATTTGGACCTGTCCATTCTCGGGAGTGGGGGAGGGCAGGTTTCTCAGGGTATCCCCATTTTAGCCCCCTTCCCACACAACTGCCCAACTCACCTGACTCCAGCCGAGCACCCGCCCAGTAGCGGGAGGGGAGAACGAACCGTGGTGTACCCGGGACCTACCTGTCCCTGCGCTATGGGGTCCTCGCGAGCTCTGAGCGGCTGCCCGTCCCAAACGCCTGTGTTTTTTCAAAGACCAAAGCTATGTGAGATATTTTCGCAACTTGCAGTTTTGTGGCTCCGTGAGTGATATTTCTGCATTAAAAAAATGCAGCCTCCCCCGATGGAATTTGGTATTACGGACAGGCACTTTGAGAGACAGCCTCACGTCCCAGAATACGGAAGTGCAGCCTGGTTGCGAGGCTGGCGTGCTGCACTGCTCATGCCAGTCTCAGGTGGGGGGCAACCTGTGGAGGGTGTGGGTCCCTGCATGGTCTGCATCACCAGAGGCGGTGCAATCCACAGACGGGACAGCATGCCAGGCTGCATTGCTAAGGGCAATCTGCAAATATGAGAGGTCACAGCTGATCATGCGGTACCCTTTAGAGCACTCTCCTATAGCATTGTGAAGAGACAACAGGCCCCACCTTGGAGGGCTACTGTGCCAGCCCAGGAGCATTCTCACATGATGGTGAAGCCCATATGAGCAGCAGGTTCCATCAGGCCTGGCTGTCTGTCGATTGTTGTGCTTTCACATGTTCAATGGGTCTGCCCAGGAAATAGCAGTCTCCATTTTCATGGGCACTTTAATCATAGAAATGTAGGGCTGGAAGGGACCTCAAGAGGTCATTGAGTCTGGTCCCCCACACTGAGACAGGGTAAGTATACCTACACCATGCCTGATGCATGTTTGTCTAATCTGTTCTTAAAAACCTTCAGTAACAAGGCTTCCACAGTTTCCCTATATAACCTGTTCCAGTGCTTAACTGTCTGTATAGTTAGATTTTCCTAATATCTAACCTAATTCTTCCTTGCTGCAAACTAAACTGATTACTTCTTGTCCTACCCTCAGTGGACATGGAGAACAATTAAGCACTGTCCCCATTATAACAATCTGTTCCATATTACATATGGTTATTTTTCAGGGCTAGCTGAAGTCCTCTAAAACACAGTTTCAGCATTCTCTTCAACAAAGTATTAAGTTTAGCAATTCCCCTGGTGGTTTGGTTTGGTTTTTGAATAAGCATCAGAAGTTTAAATTGGGTTGGCCTGTAAAATCCGCAAGTGGGGATCTTTGTATCAATAGATCTTATGAGGCCTGTCAAAGCGGGCCTCCTGTAGAGTTGCTCAAATCTGTGTACTGTACTTAAAATATCCTATACCTAGTGGCACAGGAGGCAACCCATTTTCCCATTGCTGTCTTGTTTGATTCTGTTGTAAGTTGTTTCCATGATGGCAGCATCCTTTTCAATCATCCCGCAGTTCGTCATTCTTTGTCCTCTGTGCTTTCTCTTCCCTGCAGGTGGAACCCAATCCAAGCCATACCTTGTGCCTCTGCCACTGAGTAGCCTGATGACATGGCCAAAACCACCGCAGCCTTGTGGTTGTGCATAATATAGTTATACCTGATGTATACCTCCATCATGTGTCACCCTGGCTCCCAACACACCCCAGCCAAACCATCCCCACTCTTTTGAACCCCCTTCCATGTCTTATTTCCATAATTCCTTATGCCTCCCAGTACCCTGCCACCCCCTTTTATATACTTAGTACACTACAACTTCCTCCAATACCACCTTGTTTGTCTGCACCACAACCTCCCTTCTCCTTCCTCCCGCAAGGCCCCTCAGTTCAGACTGGGCCTCATGTGCACCTACGTCTATATCCCTCCCAACCCACCACCCGTTCATCTATAAGAGAAGAGCAGCTAGCCCTATAGAAAAAGGGGAAGAGGCAATGGAGACTACACCAAAAATGAAGAGGATTACAAGGGAGAATAGGAATGGAAAGAACTTGCAGCCAGAGGGAACAGGGGATAGACTGGAGAATAGCACCGTCACCAGGAAAAGGCAGGTCTATGTGATCGGGGACTCTTTACTGAGAAGAATAGACAGGCCTGTAACCAGAGCTGATCCAGAGAATAGAAGGGTATGCTGTCTTCCAGGTGCTAAGATATGGGATGTAGACCTGAGGTTGAAAAGGATCTTAAAGAAAGAAATCCCCTAATTATCCTTCATGTGGGAACAAATGATACAGCTAGATTCTCGCTGGAAAGTATTAAGGGAGACTATGCTAGGCTGGGGAAGACGCTTAAGGAAATCGAGGCTCAGGTGATCTTTAGTGGGATTCTGCCTGTTCCTAGAGAAGGGCAACAAAGGTGTGACAAGATTATGACTATCAACAGATGGCTTAGGCAGTGGTGCTATAAGGAGGGCTTTGGGATGTATGGACAGAGGACAGTTCTCTTGGGATGGACTTTATCTGAGTAGGGAAGGAAATAGACTTCTAGGATGGAGGCTGGCACAACTGATTGAGAGCTTTAAACTAGGAATTTGGGGGAGATGGTTGGGAGATGTCCAGGTAATCTCCACGCTGGATTTTAGCATTGTGAGGGAAGAAAACGAAGTAAGAAAGGATACAGCCGTGGGTAGGAGAATGTTTATAAGGAGGAAGGGCAGTGTGGATACCAGTCTAATAGGTTATACTGGTTGTAGAATGACTGTGCCTAATAGGGTACAGAATGTGATCGAGGCCAAACAGCAAAAATTAAGATGTTTGTACACCAGTGCGAGGAGCCTAGGTAACAAAATGGAGGAACTAGAGCTACTGGTGCAGGAAGTGAAACCAGATATTATAGGGATAACAGAAACGTGGTGGAATAGTAGTCATGACTGGACTACAGGTATTGAAGGGTATGTGCTGTTTAGGAAAGACAGAAATAAAGGTAAAGGTGATGGAGTAGCATTGTATATCAATGATGAGGTACAATGTAAAGAAATAAGAAGCGATGAAATGGATAAGACAGTCCATCTGGGTAAAAATTACATTGGGGAAGAAAACTATTAGAGCCTCCCCTGGGATAGTGCTTGGGGTGTGCTATAGACCGCCAGGATCTAATTTGGATATGGATAGAGCCCTCTTTAATGTTTTTAATTAAGTAAATACTAATGGAAACTGCGTGATCATGGGAGACTAACTTCCCAGATATAGATTGGAGGACAAGTGCTAGTAATAATAATAGGGATTTTCCTAGATGCGACAGCTGATGGATTCCTTCATCAAGTAGTTGCTGAACCGACTAGGGGGATGCCATTTTAGATTTGGTTTTAGTGAGTAGTGAGGACCTCATAGAAGAAATGGTTGTAGGGGACAATCTTGGTTCAAGTGATCAGGAGCTAATTCAGTTCAAACTGAACGGAAGGATTAACAAAAATAAATCTGCAACTAGGGTTTTTGATTTCAAAAGGACTGACTTTCAAAAATTAAGGAAATTAGTTAGGGAAGAGGATTGGACTGAAGAATTTATGGATCTAAAGGCAGAGGAGGCCTGGGATTACTTTAAATCAAAGCTGCAGAAGCTACCGGAAGCCTGCATCCCAAGAAAAGGAAAAAAATTCATAGGCAGAAGTTGTAGACCAAGCTGGATGAGCAAGCATCTCAGAGAGGTGATTAATAAAAAGCAGAAAGCATAGAGGGAGTGGATGATGGGAGGGATCAGCAAAGAAAGCGACCTTATTGAGGTCAGAACATGTAGGGATAAAGTGAGACAGACTAAAAGTCAAGTAGATTTGGACCTTGCAAAGGGAATTAAAACCAATAGTAAAAGGTTCTATAGCCATATAAATAAGAAGAAAACAAAGAAAGAAGTGGGACTGCTAAACACTGAGGATGGAGTGGAGGTCAAGGATAATCTAGGCATGGCCCAATATCTAAACAAATACTTTGCCTCAGTCTTTAATAAGGCTAAAGAGGCTCTTAGGGATAATGGAAGCATGACAAATGGGAATGAGGATATGGAGGTAGATATTACCATATCTGAGGTAGAAGCAAAACTCGAACAGCTTAATGGGACTAAATCGGGGGGGCCCAGATAATCTTCATCCAAGAATATTAAAGGAATTGGCACATGAAATTGCAAGCCCATTATCAAGAATTTTGAATGAATCTGTAAACTCGGGGGTTGTACCGTATGACTGGAGAATTGCTAACATGGTTCCTATTTTTAAGAAAGGGAAAAAAGGTGATCAGGGTAACTACAGGCCTGTTAGTTTGACATCTGTAGTATGCAAGGTCTTGGAAAAATTTTGGAGGAGAAAGTAGTTAAGGACATTGAGGTCAATGGTAAATGGGACAAAATACAACATGATTTTACAAAAGGTAGATCGTGCCAAACCAACCTGATCTCCTTCTTTGAGAAAGTAACAGATTTTGTAGACAAAGGAAACGCAGCGGATCTAATTTACCTAGATTTCAGTAAGGCGTTTGATACCGTGCCACATAAGGAATTATTAGTTAAATTGGAAAAGATGGGGATCAATATGAAAATTGAAAGGTGGATAAGGAATTGGTTAAAAGGGAGACTACAGTGGGTCCTACTGAAAGGTGAACTGTCAGGCTGGAGGGAGGTTACCAATGGAGTTCCTCAGGGATCAGTTTTGGGACCAATCTTATTTAATCTTTTTATTACTGACCTTGGCACAAAAAGCGGGAGTGTGCTAATAAAGTTTGTGGTTGATACAAAGCTGGGAGGTATTACCAATTTAGAGAAGGACCGGGAAATCATACAGGAAGATTTGGATGACCTTGTAAACTGGAGTAATAGTAATAGGATGAAATTTAATAGTGAGAAGTGTAAGGTTATGCATTTAGGGATTAATAATTATTAATTTTAGTTATAAGCTGGGGACGCATCCATTAGAAGTAACGGAGGAGGAGAAGAACCTTGGAGTATTGGTTGATCATAGGATGACTATGAGCCGCCAATGTGATATGGCCGTGAAAAAGGCTAATGTGGTCTTGGCATGCGTCAGGCGAGATATTTCCAGTAGAGATAAGGAAGTTTTAGTACCGTTATACAAGGCACTGGTGAGACCTCACCTGGAATACTGTGTGCAGTTCTGGTCTCCCATGTTTAAGAAGGATGAATTCAAACTGGAACAGGTACAGAGAAGGGCTACTAGGACGATCCGAGGAATGGAAAACCTGTCTTATGAAAGGAGACTCAAGGAGCTTGGCTTGTTTAGCCTAACTAA